CATTATCATTATTATTCATTCAATTATTTATTTGTTTTCATTATCATTGTTTATTATTATTATTATTATTATTATTAATTTTATCGTTGTTGTTTATTGTTAATATTATTTATTTAATTATTTAATTGCATTTGAGAATGGATGTCTAGTTGTGCATTGCATCACGATGTTCAACTGATCAATATGTTTGCATTTAATTGCAATGTTTGATTAATTGTGTTGTGATAATGCTATGCTTGTTTGTGTTGTTTGTGTTGCGAGTTTGGGATGAAGTGGGTCACCACGGGTTTGTGAGGACGTTTGGACCGTCGGTCGGGTAAATGGGGAAGATCGGCGCCCCGTGCACCTACCGTTATGATCTGTATGATATGGAAAACCACAGGTTGGTTTCTTTATTGGGCGCACCTGATAATCTAGATTTGATCGCAGCCCGTAGGGTGGTCTCTTGTTGTGAGCGCCTGATGATCTAGATTTGATGGAGATGACCAGGTTGCCTTCTGTTGGTATGGAAAAGAAAAGAGAGAATGGAAAAATAATGAGAGGGCTGGTCAAGTGAGGATTAGATCGGTCAACCAGAATGGGGGATCGGCTCCCTGGTGCACACGTGAGAGGATGGGCCATGTGGGAGGACGGCTCATCAGGGGTTTCGGTGACGCCACAGACCAATTTGAACGACCACAGACCAATTTCCATGTGATGTGATTACATGAGATGTTAATGATTGTGGGTTGTTAATGATAGGCCATTTGGTGTGACTGACTGCGTGAGCAATATAACTAATAACTAGTCGGATGACTAGATTGATATATTTATTCATTTGTGTGAATGCGTGTGTTGTGCAATAGATATTACTTCTTAAAAGGCTCACATATCTTGTTTAATTTTTCAGGAAGTAGGTTTCTCTCTAATTCGATCTAGGCTATGTTTCTTCGACACAGGGCATAATGAAATTTTCCCTAGTTCTATAAGTATTTTACCATGTAACTGTATGTATAAAAGCTATGTATATCAAACAGTTAGTGACTCCGCAGTTGTAGGATTTGTATACTTTTAATCGTTTATTATTATAGATGAGATAATTATGTGAACCCATATTAGTGATGTATTGTAATTGGGCCCCGAACTATAGATGCTGTAGAAGATAAAACTTGGGCCGAGAAATAATAAAATATTGAGGTTTTTTTCAATTATTCATATGGGCTGAATGTTGAAATTTAATAATGAGATAATTAGATTCTAGTGTTTCAGGCTTACTACGGGTCTCGGAGGCCTTAAGCTTATGGGCTGAATGTTGAAATTTATACTGAGATAATAGATTCTAGTGTTTCAGGCTTACTACGGGTCTCGGAGGCCTTAAGCTTATCTGGGCCCTAGTACCGGTCCGGCCCATGGAATTGGGTCGTGACAGCTTCTGACCTTCAAATATAAATTAATTAATTAATTGTAATTGTCGCTAATATTATTTGAACCTAATGAGTCACACATAAGAATTGATATGATAAAGTAAAATGAGAAGATGGAAAACGTGTGAGTTGATTATAAATAAGTTTTGAGACATTATAGGAAAATTTTTAATTTATAGGAATTACTATTTTACCTAAAAATATTAAGTGAAGACTTAATTGAAATATGTTCTAAAACTTATTGCTTTTAAAATTTTAGATAACTTTAACCTATTGTTTTAATTATCATTTGTTTATTTAAATAATTAAATAAATTTTAAATAGGCTAATAAATAAACAAAATTAATTATATTGTAAACTTAATATTTTAATTATAATTTATTCACTTAAAAGTTAAATAAATAAATAAAATTATTTAACCTAGGATGTTAACATAAAAGGCTTTATGAAAATAGTCTAAAAGAAGAAACCCCAAAAAGTCTCTTGATTCTCTAAAAAAATTTTAGAGAATTGTCGGTTCATGTGGATACTGTTAGATACCATATAGTTACTGTTAGAGACTGTACAAGTGGACGATTGGACAGTTTGTGATTTACGACAATCCAACTACGAAGAAATACGGCTTTAGAATATCCTTGAAGACTTAAATCAAGGTACTGTTCATAAAACGATTAATTTGTTGCATTTTTGTTTAAATGTAATCGGTGTTGGTTTAAAATTAAACTAAATTTTTATTCCTACTGTGTTTATGATATGAAATACATTAACAGTTTTGTCAGAGTCATAGTTTAAACAATTAAACTGTAAATACAATCTATTAATTATTGATTAATTTTAAACAAATATTTATGTGCCGAATAATTGATTTTTTTACAAAAATTTTATATTAATTTTTCAGAATTAATTTGATTATATTATGGATTTAGTTTCTATTAAATATGATTTAATAAAGTGGCCGGACCCGCGGAGCACGTGAGCCGCAAGTGGCGGGCCGGGCGTCGGACCTGTCCCGAAGTGCGCCGCCTCTTGCACGAGCTCCGGTGGCCGGCGTGGTCTCTGTCAGCCGGTGGTTATGGGTTTTATAAATAAACAAATAAAAATGAGGCAGACACGTTTTTCCGGCGAGACAATCACGGCTGGCCTTTGCTGTAAATATTTGGTGCGGCAGCTAGGGCATCTTCAACAAAGAAGATGATGTTTGGTTGTTATTTTTGGTAAAACTACAGTTTAGTCCCTATAAACTGTCACTTTTACAGAATGGCTTAAAATTGTTAATTTGATTATTTAAGTCTTTAAATTGATTTTATTGGCTAATTTTAATTAAAATAGTATTAATTATATCTTGAAGGCCATTAAAATTTAAATTTATAATTTATAATATTTTCTAATATAGTTAGAAAAGAAAATTAGAAGAGTTTTAATTTATTATAAAATTATTTTGTAAATTAATCCTTAATTGGATTAGGAAATTAAATTAAATGGTTTGATAATTTATTAATTCTAATATGATTAGAATTGTAAAAAAATTGGTTTATAAAATAATTTTATAAATTTTAAAATTATTTTTTAGTATGATTTGATATATAAATAAAATTGTAAGTTTTTTTATTCAAATTACGTAATTTAGCATTCTACAATAACTAATAAATCAAGAGATTTATCCTCTCGTAGAGGATAAAGATTCTTTTATCTTTCCAGCAAAATGTGCTTTCTGAAGATCAAACTTATTATCATCTTTATATAGATTAAGATTACTAACCATTTCAACTAATACTTTGACCCATTACTTTGTTACCTTATAAATTAACAAGCCATGCTTGTAATATAACCGTTCCCTTTACCTTTTTGTCATTTTGAAATTATAATCAAATAATTTTTACCTAACATATTCACTTAAGAAAGCCATTAAAATAATTAAACTAAACATATCCAGACATAGTCTAATGTTAAGTAAATGTTTTCCATGCTCATATAAAAGAAAAACTAAGCTAAACTGCGGGCCCTGAAACTCATAGAATGGAAGACATAGCCTACTGTTAATGTGCAATGATTGGGATGACCTGGCTCCTCGCATTGCCAGCCTGGATTTAGAAAAGGATTCAGCTGGCGCACGTGCTCACCCTTCAACACGTGATGTTTCAATATAGCTCATTGTCTGTACTAGCAATCGTCCCTCGTTCTTCGTCTTTTAAAGAAGCTTCTTCCGGTATACACCACATATTTTGTCATTTAACTCAAAGGGTTAACAAGTCACTTCATTGTTTGCAGGATTGATTACACTAACACATTTTTATCATAAAGCAAACTTTACACTTTAAAAACATGGCAATGTTTGGATAGAGGGAAAATATAAGATAAAAGAAAATAATTCGAGAAAATTGTAAGGAAATTTCATTTCTCTTTATTTAATAAGATAAAGGGAAATAATTAAGGAAATGAAAATCAAAAACCAAACAATTATGATAGCTAATGAATTATAATATTAAGTTTTCAACTTCAATAAATACCCATTTTCATCCAACTTTTTTGTTGAGATTTCCCTGATTTAATATCTTAAATTAGTTAAATGTTGTGCAAGAAATTTAGAGAAAAAATTTACATTTAAAGTTATTTTTTTGAATTTTTAAATTATTATTATCGCTTAGATATCAAATGTCACGGGGTAGGAGGTCAGGGTCCACTTGTAATTTAGGTCATTCTTGCATTGCATCCTTCAAGTATCTCAGCATATAATCCAACTATAAATCCTCAACTTGCCATATACATAAAGGTTTAGCACATTCGAGTCTAAGCTCGAGGCTTTTGGAGCATTTCGGATTGTGTAAGACTGCCTCTACTAAACCTTCACCTACGAAATAATGCGCACTATAGGATTTTAGTTTTGTAGTGTCTATAGAGCTCCTTCACTATGGAGACACCAACTCCTCTTATTAGAGTATGATATGATGCCTACAACCTCGTTTAGGCTAAGTGTTATTTAAATCCTCTTATTTTTAAGGATTTTATAGATAACCGAAAGGTATGAATTGTATTGATTCAGAAATTTCAATTTAAATCGTTAACATCTTTATGTATATGCTTCAATTCATAAATTTACAATAGTGGCTGTAATAATATTTTCTAGTGTGAGAATAAAAGGTTTCTTTTTACCTAAATCAAATAGATGGATACAAAAATTTATTGCCTTATCTCAAACCAACCCCTATCCCCAAAAATGTCTTAATTCGATATGCAAAAATCAGTACATGATATTACTTAAAAGGGAAAAAGAAAGACAAAAAAAAAAAAAAAAAAAAAACCAAACCCCTATCCCAAAAATGTCTTAATTCGATATGCAAAAATCAGTAGCATTGATATTACTTCAAAGGGAAAAAGAAAGATCAAAAAAAAAAAAAAAAGCAAAAGCAAAAAAAAAAAAAAAAAAAGCAAAAGCAATCTTATTTTTATTTTTATTTTTTTGTTAGTGTAGCATAGCATCTATGCACATCACTCATCTCTTTTACGTGCGTTGCCCCCAAAAGCTCCACTTTTGAGAACGCATATGGTGACCCGTGTGACGTGTATTATCATACTAATAAACCGTTAAAGTTTCGCATTTTGATCAAAGATTTCGTACAGGAAAAAGGCAGACAAGGGGGCTTTGCAGATTGGTGTCTGCTGTTTTGAGTGAGCCATCTACCCTTTGGACCCCCTTCTTTTGTCCCTTGTATCTACTGCTCTCTGTCCATACATGTATATATATACATATTTTGAAATGAGACCTATCTTCTAATCTAAATAACCTTCTCCCTTCCATATGCTTCGCATCAATTAATATATAATAGGTATGTTTTTCTTCTTTTTCCTTTTTCCTCTCTTCAGAAAATATTATTATTCTATTCTCTTTCATGAATTAACTTGTATCATATGAACAATGTTTATCAATACATCAGAGAGGGATGATTTGGATCAAAACTTTAAGCACTATAAGGATTAGCACTCTTACCACTGTAATTGTGTTCAGCAATAGCTTTTTAACTAACTATCAAACGGTAAATGCTATTTTTTTTTTATAGTATTCGATGACATATCATTTGAACTAGCTTTGATAAATTATAGTGTCTTATAAAAAGTTAATCCATATACCATGAGTTTAACTTTTAGCGTTTTATGAAACGCTACTTAAACAGTTAACAGCTACCAAAACCGCTAATTTTGCTGAACAAACCCTCAAACTATCTGGTACCATCCAAGAATGATCTGAGTTACTTTATGTTAATCAAATAGTTGATAAATCCTACTCCTTGAGAGCACGCGATGACTCGATTCCCTTATATATTTGAAGCAGAAACTGTTTAAGTTAACATCTAATATTGAATGTGCATGTTGATTTACATACTTTAGGATAAATATGCCTAAACATGCATATCTATCTATATAGAAGAGTTTAAATGCCGTTTTCTATGCATGGATATAGTTAGAAATCATCTAAGTCAATCGGTGGTTTCAGGGACAATAAACGTTGAGCAACATGGACAAGGTGAACTCACAGCTATATCAGCAGAACTGTTATATAATCAGACAGAATGAGATGCTTAGAAAGAAAGCTAAGCAACTAAACCAGGAGAATCAGGCTCTGTTATCGGAGCTGAAGCAGAAGCTCTCCAAGGCAAACTCGAACCACAACAGTAATCCTGACATCAACCTCAGCTCTGCTTCCACCACTGATCCTATGAATTTGAACAAAACCTGATTCTATGGAGACTTTTAGTTCAATGAATTCCTCACAAAGCAAGAAGATTCAAATTATTGTTAGTTTTTCTTCTACATATTAGTCTTTACCTATAGTTACATGTTGAAGCTCTTTTATATCTTCATTTTTGGATTCAAGATTATGCTTGCCAATAATAAAAATGTTTGATAAAGCAAAATACAAAATATCTTCTGTTCTCCCTCTCTCTCTCTCTCTCTCTCTCTCTCTCTTCACGCTGCACTTCAACCCAAACCTAAAAGAAAGCACACCCTTGAAAATGATAATTTCTGCTGGCTTAATCCACTTGTAGTTTCTTGTCTATGCTTGAAAAGTTTTCGTAGAATGCCTTGAAATGCTTGTAAGCAATGTCTATGTCCTCTTTTGCACATACCTCTCTCACACTGCATTGTGGAATGGCAAAATATAGAAACAAATAGAAGTAATCCCATAATAAGAATCAAAATACTAAATAATGAAATCCCAAATACAAGCAATGATTTATCAGCATTGCAAATAACACATTAAACTCCTATTCAGTAGCTCTATTTTGGGAAAGAAGGCTGAAAATGGCACGGGGTTGGAGTTGTCCCTGCCTCAATAGTAAAATAATAGTTATATATTTATATAAATAGTAAAAATAATAAGTTATATTTATATATATATATATATATATATAATATATATATATTGAAACATTACATCTATTAAAGGCAAAGAAAAGTAAAATTCAATACATTTGGAGATAAGGACATGCATATACATGGTATCAAAAGCTTTTGTGATTATATTCTTATTATTATATCAACAAATAACTCAAATACCAGACAATTTTACGTATCATTTGGGTTTGGATTGCTTTGTGAATATGAATGATTTTTTTTCTTTGTTTTGAAGACTTCTTTTTCGGACATTCTATCATTCATCATCTATTTGTTCTTCCCAACAGGATACTTTTAGTATGAATTGATTGAACTCCTTTTAAGTCTTTAACAATATCATTCAAGTAATATAAGGGACAATAATTAAGGCCCTGAACCAGGTAGGGTGAAGCTGCACCCATAAATATCCTCCTCTAGTTGGAGTAGGGGCCACTTCCAGAACATAATCTCTTCTTTTCTTTGCATCAATAAAAGCTAGAATCCAACTTTCCTAGAATTGTGTGTTAATGAAGGGTTTCTTCATTTCCTATTCCACAGTTGATTCGGTTCCAATAAACAAAGTAGTCACAGGATGAAATTAGTTGAGAATTTGTTGACATGAATCCTTAAATGTACTCTTGAGCCCTTGCATTTAAATAAGTTAGAAAGAATAATCGCTACTCAACTTTTTACTTTACCCTCAAGTGTTCATGTTAAACAAGGATACTTCGACATAGACACAGCACTTTGACACATAATAGTAGGGTAATCTGCAAAATTTAGGAAAATAAGTAGAGATGAGAATTTTACTCACCTCAAACCCAACTGAGCATCTTTGCCCTGTCAAGTGGGGAATGGAAGGGTTTAGGCTGCTGCCCTGTATTACCATGCCCAAATTTGGTCCCGATTTTTAACATATTATATCTATATAGAATATATAAAAACTTGTCTTTGAAATATACAATTAGTTGCTTGATATTATTATTTCTTTCTCAACTATTAACTAACAGCACAACCCAGCCCCAGTTTGTAGTACCCCAGAATCATAACTGGATGTGCAGCTGGGTCCACCCAGATTTAGGCCAGTTCTTCCGATGACTTGTTTTTTAAAAAATGTAGTTTGAAATCAGGCAGTTGCAGCTAGTTTTGTGAGAATAAGGGCTTCTTCCTCCCAGCTGTTTCCAATCCTGTTTGGAACTGCAGGACCACAGTTCCAGTCCAACCAGTCCGGTTCCCAGAACTAGCCCTCAGTCAAGTCTACTCCCATCATCATTTCTAAGAATAAACGAGTGACCCTCAAAAAGGTACCCATGCTAGATACTCATACCCAAGTCCAGGTAACAAAGTTTATTGAGGCAAGCAATATCCACTTTAAAGTTTAAACAAAAAACATAATCAGACTAATGATTTTAGATTTTTTTTTTTTTTCAGATATTATGGTAAAAATCTGAATCAGAACATATGTATTTATGTATTAAAAAAAAATGCAAATTTCTAAAATTAGTATAATATTAAAAAGTATATTCATATGCATATTTTGTAATAATAATATTTTTAGTAGTTCAATTTGTTTTGGTTCTTCATATTTTTGGTTCAGTTGAACTCTCTAAAAAAACTTAAATGGCTATTTTAATTTTTCTAAATTTCAAAATGAAAAAAATCGACATTCATAGACTATAAGGGAAGCCAAAGCAAATAGAGGAGAGAAGAAAAGAAGTTGTTCAGATATTTGTTTTAGAGAGACGAAAATATATCATAGTTTTACCGTTGGCAAGATTGATAGATGGAATGGAAACTCAAATGACTTGAACTCCAATTTACCTCAATGTCTCTATTTTGGGTGGAAAGTTAATTGGGTCAATTTCCCTCCGTTTCCATTACTCCATCCCTTGCTCATTTTAAGACCAAATAGAGGAAATTTAAATTGGATCAATTTCTCTTGCATTTCTCCCCATTAATTTCTTCTACCTTGTCTTCATTATTATGCCATTTCCTTTCTCTTGTTTTATCTCTTACTTTTTGAGATATATATTCTGGTTGCGTCATCAACTGTGATATATATTCTGGTTGTGCCATCAACTGTGTTAATATGATTTTGGGTTTATCTTCCATGAGCTGAGTAAAAAAAAAAAAATGAATATTTCAAGAAAATCAATCACTATATGATACCTGTGCATGGAAAGTTGAGCAATGCCGCAATCAACAGTACGGATGCCAACACCAGAAGCAAGTATAGGACCTATGGTGGATCCACATCCCATATCGTTCCTCACCACAAATTCCTAGAAATCACAATGTACTCATATGTAAAGAATTAAATTCCATAGTTTAGATTCAAATTTCGGGACAGCATAGGAAATTTTAGGACTCAAGTACTGTAAAAATTAGAAAACATATGTCAACCAACTAGGATACAGTACAATTCTACTTCAAGATTAGGGACATTATAAGAAAATTGCATGATGTTTATATCAAGTCCTTAACCTGTCTCTAATAGAAGGCATCAATGGAAGTTTTAACAAAGGTTACCGTGAAGGCAGAGTAAAATGACAATCCCACCACCCAAAACCCACTCAAAAAAAAAAAAAAAGCCCCACAATTAGAGACGAAATAAAAGATGCATCGTAAGCCTGCGGGAAGCAGGCGAAGCTAAGGAAAAAAAAAACTTGAAGACTACCACTTAAAATGGAACCATTATGACCAAGAGGTGATAATTGAAGATGAAACCTAACCACCCTAACCTGACATACTCTACTGACTTGAAGTTGCAATTACAAAATAATTTCTTGACGAGTTGGTTTCAGTTTTAAGAGCTGGGGCCAAGTAATTATGGATCAGTTTCAAAAACCAATCGTTGCGTTTCTTTCTTCCTTTTCTCTTTTCAATGCTTACTAACTCAAGAGAATAGAACCTAGGTAAATGGGTCATGTATACCTGATTGGAATCAGGTAAATTAAAAGAATTACAGGGAAGCAAGGCAGAAGCCAGAAATCTCTCTATAGAACTCTGAAGAGAAGTATCAAAGTTATTAATTTTATGAAGCTAGATCAAACATAGTTGATTCCTTACTCTCAGTGCCCACCACAAATAGGAGAAAGAAACCTTTTCTAATCCACCAAAGGATATTTGTGATGTTCCAGCATGACTCCCATAAAACTGCCAGTAACTACTCCAGGAATTGCACTCATATTGAGACTATGATTAATGTTACCTAAGTGACTCGGCAAGCAAAATTGTCTATTTTATATTGACAACTTTTTAGCATCATCAAAATTCACAGATATGCCATGTTTGGCAACACTATGTGATGATAAGTCCAATGGAAGTACAATTGAAACTGAATGTCACATTTCCGGTGCTTTATTTTAAGCCATTATTTATAATGATCCTAGTTATATGCTGCATACAAAGTAGCCTGAGCACAAAATAAAAGGCCAATAGCACTATTTCGATAAACGTTACCTGAGTTGGAAGGCTCAGGATTTTGCCAACTTCTTTAAAGAGAAAAGCTGTGATCCCATTGGTAGCATATCGCTGGTTTGCATTGTGCTTGATAACAAGCCCCTTTTTCATTTCTGGTCGATGGTGTTCTTCATGCTTGTCCATAAAATTTGGATGAACTCCATGAGAAAAAAAAAAAAAAAAAAAGATTCCGGAAAAAACCTTGAGGCCTTGATACAGAAAACATGTTAATGTGTCTAATTTTCCAAAATTTGCATGATTTTTCATTAGAATTTTTTGAGGTTTGATCTATCTTTTTAACTGAAAAAATTTTAATTGTTTTAATTTTAATTTAAAATTTTTAAGATATATAACATCATGATATCAAGAAAAGCAGTTGAAAACAAAATGAGAAATTAAAAAAATAAAACCATTAAAAATTAGTGGTTAATAGGTTAATCCTACTTCCATAATTAGAAAATCATTACAAGAAAATATCAAACCCCTTTTCTAGTACTCTCATAAAAACTTTCTGAAGGGAGATATATATTCCACAACTAAACAAGCAATACAAGTTTTGTTAAAATAACATATTGCTGAAAAAGAGACTCAAAAAGATATGAACTGGATATGCTATTAAGGTCATAGCGATCTGTCCACACCCATCACAAAAACATAATGTTGTTCTAGAAAGAAAAGTCAATGACCTACTCAGATTTTACTTATGTTGACCCATCCAAAGAACATACAACTGATTTGCATGATGATGTAGAAGCCTAAGTTCAAACTCCCAAAAACTTCAATTCAACTAAAGCCTATACCAACAGAGGCTACAATCTCATGTACAACAATAATTCAACAATAATTATGCTTTAATCCCAAACTAGTTGAGGTCGGTTGTATGAATTCTTTATTTCCATTCTGCTCTGTTCAATAGCAATATCTTTCCTAATGTCCAAAACAATAGATCTTTTGGAACAACTTCTCTCCATGTGGTTTTGCGATGGCCGGTTATTGAACCGATAACGGCAGTTCAAAATTTTTTAAAATGTGAATCTAAATCGGCTCTTGAACCACCGATTCCATGGTTTCAGCTCTGGTGTGGTCCGACAATTCCAGCGGTTTCAGCTCCAGTGTGGTCTGACAATTCTAGCGATACACATGTTATTTGTTTCCAAAAAAATAAAAAATAAAAATTCGATTCTAGGATTATGTCTTTCTTCTGGAAAAATTTAATGTGAATTTCATTTTAAATAATTTTTAGAATACTTATACTCATATAAGAAATAAAATTTTATAAATAAATACAAAATAATCAAATTTATTTTGTCTAAATGTTATTAATTAAATAAGTTGTTAGAAAAATTTGAAAAATGTTTCAATGGAATATTGGACTAAGTAAAAAAGTTTAGAAGGAAATAAAAAGCGTTGTTAAAATCCAAGTTGTATCAAACAATATAATTTTAGACTAAATATTTCACTTTTTTTTTTCACTTTTACTTTTTAACATTTTAAGTCAAATGTATCATGTAGTACCAAATTTATTTGGACTTTTAGAGGTGTATAAAATAAACTAAGCGATTATAAGTTTTTCAAAACAAAAAAAAAGAATTTCTGGTTAGGTTCATTTTTTAACATTAATATGAACCTTAATGACCCACAAACTACTGGTTTCAGTTTAAAATTTTGAACCAACAGTTTTGGTTTAGTTCCAGTTCGAACCGAACCGATAGCCATTCCTAGGTTTACCTTTTCACCATTTGACACCCTCAACCATTAGTGTATCACACTTACGAAACATAGTACATGGGGATCTATGTAGGATACAATCAAACCACCTCAAATATCTCTCTCATTTTATTCCCAACTTGTGTTATTTACATCTTTTGTCAGATGTTGTCATTTTTCATTACTAATTAATCAGATAAAAATTAAATTTCTCAATGACCTGAATAAAATATAAATTTATTAAATTTTATCACTAACAGAAGAGATTATAGTGGATAGATCCTCTCCAAGACAAGTTAAGATCATTTTCAAACTAAGGCTATGCCTATAATCTAATAATCGATGTTATGATATGAAGCCGATGTACCCTCTTGATGTGTTTCATTCTCCATGATATCCTTGTTTTCTAAATTATTCAATATAGATATCAAAAACTAATCTTGCATCGATAAATTAAGGAGAATAGTTTAAAAAGCTTAATAAATTAAATGAAGTGGAGTCTATGATCAAGGGGAGACCACACTTTCTTAGAGTCTTAAACACCAACAACTAACGACTGAAAAAGATCTACCAAGAAACTTCAACCACCATCTCCACATAAAAAGACATGCATTTCAAACACATCATTTTTAATGTAATTTTGAAATGCTTTTTTTTTTATAGAACAAGTTTGTCCTGAAATCGCAGCAGATGAAAACTTTGATTCTTAAGCACAAATATATTGTCACAACAACAATTGCACAATGACATAATTTGAAGCTTCTTTTCTTCCTTGCCAAAAGTCTAAACTTTGTTCTTCCTGAAAATTCTCTAACGTCTCAAACATTTCCAACGTTCCGAAAAAATATATTACAAGAAGCAAAGTGATGAAGAAATGGAAAATGAATTCCAGTTATAGCAAAGATCTCATGTAAATACAGAGCTTTGTTAGGTCTCTAATTCTCTGGGGAAACTTGTCAATATATAGTCTTCTTTAATTCCTTTGTTTTCTTACAACTTCTTCTAGATGTAATGTATAGTTTACTCTGCTTGATAACAAGCGTTCCAACATTATCCTCCTACTCCTCTAGTAATTTAGAAGAGAAGAATTTCGGAATCCCTATTTGATAACTAGAAAAGGTAATTCTCATATTTTGTTTAATATTTTCTTTTCTCATCTAAATTTGAAGCATATCTAAATCCACTTATTGATAACTTCACCAAAAAAGCCTTAGTAATTGACTAATTGTTCATGCTGCAAAATATCATATCACATATTGCACAAAGGCACTGATGATAAAGGACGATCAAGTCTTCATTCTAATATGTTTTATAGAACGCCAGTTTAAGCTGTAAAACAGCAGATACTAAAAGCTACTAGGGTTGGCCTGAAAAAACCTTGCATGATACATGTATAGGCTAAAGGGCTTCATTTTAGAAAAATAAATATTATAAGGGTAATCAAATTGGATGTATTCTAGAACTAATGGATATTGTAGAATTAGTTGATACCAAAGAGAACTGGGAAAATGGAAACCTATGAACCTAGAGAGCACTCCAATATATTCATCACATCTAAGAAAAAGATACATTACCCCAACCAATTTATACAATCTCACCACATAATCTTCTGGTTTTAACTTACCAGATAGTTTACAGCCTTGTATATAATATGAACTATATTAATATGTGAAGATATTTCTTGAGGATTCCCACTTGACAATGTGCCTTAGTACTATGGACATGCAGCAAACTTAGTTTACAGTTAATTACACCTAATCAGGTGCTTCTTAGAGATAAGGACTTCTTATCCATATTCCTTAACAGTGATGTACTCTCATGGGATACCTCTACTACTCATTGACAAGGGTGTCATGAAAAGAAACATTCTATGGTAGAGGAAATCAAAATCACAAGAAGCCTGCAATAAAATGTTCCAAAACATTTTTGGCTTTCCTAATGCTGCATCAGAAAATGCCAATAAGCCAATGAAGTGCAATCAAAACTTAGTCTAAAGAATAAAAATTTAGTTGCTAAGCTCAAAAGGTTTCAAAAGAACCATACCAAGAAAAGATTGCCGAATTGCACGCTCAATACCACCTTCACTAACTTTATTATGAGTCAGGCATCCAACTATTCGCCTCATGGCCTGAAACATGGTTGGTGCACCAGCTCCCTGAACTGAACCTGAACCCACCTAAGCAACAATATTTAGGAATAACATGATGCAGTCAATAAAAAAGGACTAGTATTATTTAGGATTCTCTTTATAAAATTCCAATTTAGAGGTTGTAGTCCTGGTGGAACAAGGATGTAGTGCCTAGAAATATTTATATTACCTAGTTATTCTAAGACTTGAATTAACAAAGTACAATCAAATTATGTGGCTTTTGGAAGCAAGGCAGATTTATTCTAACTGTTATTAGTAAACATGAAAGAAATGTATATACAACCAACGCTACAAGTTGTTCAAGAATAAATTACCTCTTCATTATCAAATAAAGCAACCATACGAATAGCGGGCTCACTCGATAAATCATTTGAAGACTTGGATGAATCAATAAGAGCTCTTAATGCGCAAAAAGTTGAAGCAAGATTATCCAATCTTCCAGAAAATATAAATTCATTGTTTGCACCGCCAAGGCAACTAGCTTGTGTATCACAAACATTCAATTCAATACTAACTATTTCATCAATGCCACAATTCAGCTCATCTGACAAGATCTGAATCAAAGCAATAGTTAACATCTAGAAAATTGCTAATAACCACTCATCTGATCAGTGCAGCATTGCTAATTCAATCGAAGTTTAATGAGGAAAACCAAAACAATTTGCCTGCGTTGATTAGATAATACAACAGCAGAACACTTCGCAAAAATGATCAAACTGAAAGAAAAATAATATACCTGCATAAGCAGTGGATGATGAACAGCTTTTGAGGAAGCTGCAGTATCTTTATCTTTCAACTCTAGAGATTTTTCCTCAGATTTTATTGAAAATAGTGGAACAAGATGAGTTTCCAGATTTGGTTTAAACCCATCCTTATTCACTGTGCTGAAAAATCAACAAAGTATTAGAAATAGAAACTAGAAGATAATATAAATTTACACGGTCAGTGTTCTCTACTTGAAATTTATCATTTTTCCCCCCTGTCCAATACGAAGACAGTAATTAATCTTCTTATGATTCTACTGTCCCCTCTTCACACACACACACACACACACAAAAATCTTTCAACTAAAACAGCATGCAACTGCCATTGTTAGTCCAATTGGCAGCTATATACCATTTGCTTCAATATCTTTTGTTTTTTAAAACTTATTTTAACAAGTTTTGGTTTTTTCATGGAGAAAATGCAATAATAAGAAATTATTATTGGTAAGTACATAAATTTTGCTTCATATGAGAAAAGCTAAAAAAAGCTAATTATAAAACAGAAGATTTTTCTTCTTTCCAATAAAATAAATTGAAACATTTTTTTTCTAAAAGATTTCTTTGTTTTGCTTTGATATAAGCAACTTTAGCAAGCCAAACTAGCAATCCTATGTCATAAAAGCATAACTTAAGACCAAGCGTCCAAAACTTGCACATTAATTGACTTGTCACATCAATGTTAACCAGAAATATACAATAACAGTTCTCCATATAAAATCAACTATCAGGTAATTAAAGCCACAGCACATAAATAAGAAATTTATAAGGAAGCAGGGGAAAACCGATCAAGATGAATTGCCAACGTCGGTACACGTAGCAAAGATCTCTTTACTTTGACAAGCTTGTGCACAAAAGAACCATCAGTGCCTCTCACTATTACCCTTCCTGCAACACTCAAGTCTCTATCAAACCAAGTGTGCCATAAACCACCTCCATAGGTCTGCACATTGACCATTAGGTAATTAGATTTGGAGGATGCAGATTTTGGTTTGAGCTTCAAGCATGGGCTGTCTGTGTGTGCAGCTATCACATGAAAACCATTTCCAACAGTGTACCTGCAAACCTAAGCCTATATATAATTATACAACGACAAATAAACTTTATGTATGATAAGGACAATGATGATAGGGAATATAAAACCTAGATAGCTTTGAAAAAGCTCAGATGCTAGAGAGAGAGAGAGATTCCAACTCTAAATATAGAAAGCTAAGAAAATAATGCCAAGGAAAACACATGAAATGAAATAAATGACTGACAAACGATTGCCAGGAAAATTGGAATCGCAAAAGTGCGGATTCCGGACCCGGAAGTATTCAGAGCTGGTTAACTTTGTTTAAACTGTTAATTAGACCAATCCCTTTCTCATTTCATCATGGCGTTATGGAACTGATTATCTTGAGATGTTCAAGTGTGTTTCGTTGCTTATACAGCCTAACTCAAGAAATGTGTTTCTTTCACTATTATCTAGTTATCTAATGCAGTATGAATTTATGTATAAAGGAATTCTTTGACTCACTTCTCTCCAACAGCAAAAGCAACCAAGCAAGACATGTTCCTTGTAAAGAAGTAGCGTCCGCCGGGCTTTAGGTCCCATTCATCATTTTCATTAAGCAAATGAAAACCAGCAGCAGTAAGTTGCCTTTTTGCTTCCGCTACAAACAAGAACAAATACAACACACCACATCATTTTCAACGTATATCATCAATAAAAAAATCCCATTTTGCATTTCCAAAAAAACTCACTTGAACTGTTGAACAATCTGTAATAATTACAATTTAACAACTGGGTTCATTTAATCTGCTCTAATTGAACTTTATCATCAATAATAACACCAAAAAAGAAAAGAAACAGAACAACTAAAATTAAACCAACCAGTTGCGTGAAACTGAGTCCACGATTCGTTGAGATAGTCCAGCAGATCCCCAACAATAGACCCATCACAACTCTAATAAAAAAATAAATAATCAATTCAATGACTTCAAAATTTCTCAATATACTATACAAAACTGACAAAACATGTTCAATTTAGATACATATATAGAATAGTACCTCTTGGGTTTGGCTGTGATTCGAAGCAGAGCAGGGAGTGGTGGTGGTGACTGAGAATTTGCGGGGACGAAGAGCATGAGAAGGTGAATTACCGAGTTTCAATAAAAGCATGGAGGGTTTGATGATGGGTGATGATGGGTGACAGAGCTGCAACCGTGCCATGGTCATGGCTGCCATTTTTGCTCAGCGGATTACTAGCACTCAAGTGTGCTAGGATTCAATGGAATCAATTCACTTGCTCCAAGATACTAGGCCAGGGCGTTAGATAACGTGCATTTTAGCCATCCACGAATCCTTTGAATTAGTTTGATTCAAAACGAAATGTATTTTTAACTTATTACGAGTAAATAAAATATGAGGAAATTAAAATTAATCCTCAAATTATAATTAAATTAATAGACGAGGACTTTTATTTTCAAAAATTAACTATGATATTCTTAATTTATAATTCCACCAACACTTTAGCACTTTCATAAAAACAATAGTCTCTACTCCCTACTAAATCCACTACAAAATTGGTCCCTAAATCACAATCAAACTAATTATGAAGTTTATAACTTAAAAATTCATTAACACTTTGGTCCTATTATCTTTGACAACACTTGAACAAATTCAATTGATATGTCTTTGGTTCAATAACCTATATACCCTTCAATTGCCTATCCATAATCCCGAGGCTCATTCCTAGATCAATATCTATGTCATGACCAGTCATTTTGGACTGAATCGGTACTCAGATTTATAAAAGTTTAAAGCTTTCGAAACCTGTAATAAACGTCATCATTTAATACTCAATTCAAATCAATTTTAGCTAAGATTGTTATAGTCACTTATTTCACTAAAATTGTCGGAGTGGTTATTAAATCGTATTATAAAACCGAATTCTAAAATTGTAAGATTTTATAAATTATATAATTAAAAAAAAATGAAAATTTTTTAAACCCCAGGTTTAAGCAACTAATTTATTATTAATTATTATTTTATTTTACCAATAAAACAATCATATTTTTAGTATTAAGAAAAATATAACAAGTTCTTATTGGTAAATTTTATTTTTGACTAATTGTCTTTGATGAGTTTTAAATTTATAATGCTTTAGTTCTGAAACAACTTTGATACTATTAAAATTCATTCATTAAGGGATAAAAAAAAAAAAAAAAGGCAAATAGTGCTATGTTTCACTAAAAGATAAACCACTCACAAGAACCCTCTCCTAAAGTTTTCTTACTTTATGCATGTGTTGCTAGTCTTGCCATCTGCATGTGAATTTTCGTTGGAGATCTGATCATGGATGACTTCAACATGCCATGAACTTGGGAGACCTAACGCTTTCAAACGAGGAGGAATCTCCGATAGAGGTACAAAGCGAGGACAAGGAGGAAGTGGAGATAGACTATAATATGTGCCTTGTAGGGTGATGATTAACGAATAGGCATGTGAACTATAATGCAATGAAGGTTAGTTGGCAAGCCTTTGGTGTCCTGGGAGGGGCATCTGTATCAGTGAACTCAAACCGAAATTGTTTCTTTTTCAACTTGCGATGGATGTCAAAAGGGTGTGGAACCATGGCCCCTGGGCATTCAACAGTAATCTGCTGCTAATGGATAAATTACTGTAAGGAATAGAGCCTTTAGACGTACCATTATTCTTTGTTGAGATATGAATCCAAGTGCATGATTTGCCAATGGGATTCATGTCTGAATCAATGGCTAAATAGCTGGCTGGCCTTTTAGGATAATTTGTGGACTATGACACGAATAATGACAGTGGTGGTTGGTCGCGATACATGAGGATCTGTGTCTGACTAGATGTTAGGCAACCCCTTAAGAGAAGGAAGAAGTTACGCACCAGTAAGGGTGTGGGGTGCTACATTAATTTCAAATATGAGAAGTTGCCAAATTTCTATTTTATTTGTGGCTGCTTTCATCACATTGACTCATTTTATGAATAACTCTTTTGCGTGAAAGAGGAGGAGGTAAAGCATGGTCAGGGTGTGTGGCTGCATGCTTCGATGAGGCAAGTTGGAGGTAAAGCATGGTTAGGGTGTGTGGATGCATGCTTTGATGAGGCAAGTTGCAGCGGGGAGAGAGGATAACGGATGGTTTATAGTGTTGGTAGGAATGGTGGACATGCGATACTCTGGAAAGAACAAGATTGGGTTCGAATTAGTTCGTACTCTTCTCATTTTATTGATAATCACATTAAGACTGGTAATGGTGTTAGCTGGAGATTCTCGTGCTGATCGTAGTCGACATGCCAAATCGTGGGCCTTACTTCAATTACTGACTAATCGAGATAATCTGCCATGGGCTATTATGGGAGATATTAATGATCTACTGTATGATAAACATGGAGGGGCTGATTATCCAGTAGCGTAATTGCATGGATTCAAGGAGAATATTGATGACTATGATCTTTTTTATTTGCCAATGTATGGATACCCGTTTACTTAGGAAAGACACAATGGCGATCAACGGCTTGAAGAGAAGCTAGATAGAGCTTTTATTTCGCAGGCATGGTTGGAGTTATTTTTTAATAGCTCTTTGGTCAACTTAGTGACAACATACTCGGATCACTCTCCTATCGTGCTACAATGTGTACTGTCGATGAGAAGGTGGGGGGCTCAGCAGTTTCAGTTTGAAAATCGCATGGGTTCGAGAACTAGATTTCTTAACTGTCATGAGTGAAGCTTGGGTGAGTAAAGAGCAGACTAAGATTATGGCTAGAATTTGCCAAACTAGGCAAAAGATATCGGCCTGGGGTTGAATTTACTAGCTCGTTTTCACACAAAGGTGAAACGTCTTCAATGACGTCTTGAGCAATTGCATGACGCTACTGATCCTTATCAAGTGTCACAATTTCATGATCGTAAGGAGGAGTTAAATCGTGTGCTAGCATAGGAGGATTTCTGAAAGCAAAGATCAAAGTTTCTATGGTCACATGCAGGTGATTCTGATAGTCATTTTTTTTCATACTGCAGCAAAATCTCATGCATGACAAAATAGAATATCAAGACTTCGTGATGAGCATGATGCATGGAGAGATGATGACGAGGGCATGTGTACATTGGTTAATGATTATTGTGGAGCTATTATCAGGCATCTCAATAAAAAATGAACATGCGATTAACAATGTAGAACCTGTCATTACTAGAGAAGATAATAATTTTGTACTTGGTCCATTTGTGGATGAATAATTTAACCAAGCCTTATTTCAGATGCACCCTGATAAGGCCCTAAGACTTGACGGGATGAATCTGTGTTTTTTTCCAAAAATCTTGGAGTGTCGTGGGAGCTGATATTATTCATGCTTGTAAGACATGGCTCTAAAGAGGTGAGTTTCCCCCATCTCTAATGATACTAATATTTGTGGGTTCCGTATACGTATGGCACAACCCAAGAGGAGGGGTAAATTGGATTTTTGAAAAATAAAATTTTAGCTTTTAAAACCAAAATTAGAATTCTGTTGCAGCGAGAAAAGTATGCATTTGTGAGAGTAAGTTATTAACGTTAGAACTTCCTCACAAAACTCTATGCAGAAAATAGAAAGACTTTGTAAAGAATAGTTATAGATTAAAACTGTTTTATAATATCTTATTCAATTTCAAAGCTACTTTATGAAGGAAAGCTATTACTTTTAGAACTTCCTCATAAAGTTTAGATATATTTTAAAGACCATGTGAGAGACAGTTATTGAATTCTGAACTACTTCTATAAAGTTTTAGATATATTTTAAGAACCATGGTGGAGAGACAGTTATTGAAATTCTTGACTGCTTTCATCAAAGCTCTAGAGCCAAGAATTAAGAAAACTGATTAAAAACCCAAAAGTGAGATATGACTGAAAATAGAAGCCCAGTAATAAAGCCTTGGTATATTCACTAAATGCAGAAGTCCAGAGTTCTAATGTTCAGTAATAGATAAAGCTATTCCAGTTTAGAACATCAAAACCATTAACAACTTTAGCATTTCTAAAATATAAACAGAAGTGTGAAGTAAAATAGTATCAAAAGCGAAATTCATAAAATAAAAAGATTAACACAGTGTTTTATAGTGGTTCGACATTAAACTTAGCCTAACATCCACTCCCCCAAGACTCGTCTTGAGATCCTCAACTATAATTATCTCTTTTCAAGGCAAGAGAAAAAGAGACAAACCAACAGTACAAGGCAATAAATCAACACCTAGATCTACCCTTTGTTCCACTAGATTTTCCAAAGATTCTAGTTAACCTCAACCCTTTCTGTTTTTGGCAAAGAATAGAAACTCAGATCAAGACATTAGAATCTCTCTCACGGAGAATGTTGCTTCATAACCTATTTCACAATAGCTTTTCACCTAAGCTATTACACAAATCTTTTCAAATAAAAACCTGTCTACAAAAGATTATAGAATCTATATAGACAGACAGAAATACAAATATAAGCACAGGAAAAAACAGTATTTAAGATTAGAAAATCGTTTTAGAGATCAGAACTGTTTTTCAAAAGAAGTTCTTATAAAAACTGTTTTTCAAAAGAAGTTGTTATAAAATTTCTTTTCTTTTTTCAAAACGTAAAGTAATAAGATGAAAAGAAATAAGGGGGTTTGAGAGTAAGTTTTGAGAGATAAAAGATTGATCAATGGACATATACTCTTAAAACAAAAACCCTTTGCGTCATTTAAAGAGAAGACGCCTTTTATTTTAAAGAGAAAAGAACCGCCCTTTTATAGAGAGGGATGATGAATCCCATTTTAGAAAGTTAAGATATCTTCCTTTTCAAATCAAGAATATTGACTTTCCAAATTTAGAAGATATGGCAATGGACGTATACTCTTAAAACAAAAACCCTTGCGTCATTTAAAGAGAAAGACGCCTTTTATAGAGAGGGATGAGAATCCCATTTTAGAAAGTAAGATATCTTCTTTTCAAATCAGAATATTGACTTTCCAAATTTAGAAGATATGGAGATCTTTGTTTTTAAAAATTCTTGAGTCAATATCTTTTTCGTTTAAGGCAAGCGAATAAGAGAAGATTTTAAACTTTCCTTTAAAAATAATTTTCGAAATTAGGAATAATAAAAAATCTTCTTCGAAATATTTTATTACCAAAAACGATTGAGATAAAATCTCTTTTATTTAGGTAAGTAGATAAAAATAAGATTTTGGATTTCCTTAAAAATTTGTTTCCGAAAATAAAAACATAAAGATTTTATTCGAATTATTTTATTACCAAAGATGATTGAGACAAAGTCTCTTCCATTTAGGTAAGTAAATAAAATTTGAATTCTTTATGAAGATATTTTTCGAAAATAAGAAAAATTTTTTCTAAGA